CAGGCCGCCGGGGGAACTGCAGCTGCGGGCCCGGAGGCAGAGGCGCAGGGCGCGGGAGGAGGGAGAAAGGGGGCGGGGAGCAGAGGGGAGGTCTGGAGGGGAGGGAAGAAGGAGGAAGAAAGAGTGTGGAGAGGAGACAGACAAGTTTGCAGGAAGGAGAGGAAGGGGAAGGGAGAAGAAAAGAAGGGAAGGGAAGTGGAGCTCACAGAGGAAAACCCAGGGGTGGGGGCGCCCCTGGCCTGGGAGGAGAGGTGGGCACAGGCTCAGGACACCCGCATAGGTTTGCTGAGCTGGCTCCTTGGATGCCCCTTGAGTAAGACCTGGCCCTGCCCTCGAGGAGCTCCAACTCCAGTGAGAAAGAAGTGGTCTGAACCACAGAGCAGGTGTAACTAGCTGCAGGGAGGGCTTCTTGAAGGAGGCACCTTTTGAGTTGGCACCGGAAGGGTAGGCAGGAGTTTGCCTGTGGGGCCAATAGGGAAAGGCACTCCTGGCAAAGGGAACCACGGGACAAAGGAGCGAACAACCCACCTGTGCCTCCTTCCTGCTGTTCTCACTTCCGCCCTCACCCCCGGACTTTCACAAGCTGTTCCCTATGGACCTGGTCACCAGTGGGAGAGAGTGCGCTCTGCAGGCCCACAATGTGGGTTCAGGTTCTGGACCTGGGCAAACGACTGAGCTGCTCAGTGCCCTCCTCTGCCAAATGGGTAATTCCTAGCACTCACCTCCCAGGATTGTGTGAAGATTAGTATGCGAGTCCCTGGCACACAGCCAGTGTTGATAAGCATTAATATTTTTTAAATTTTTCAATTAGAGCTAATATTCAATATTATATTAGTTTCTGGAGTACAGCCTAGTGGTTAGACACTTATATAACTTATAAAATGATCCCCTGATAATGTCTAGTACCCCCAAAACCATGCATAGTTATTACAATATTATTGATTATAGTCCCTATATTTTGTAACTACCAATTTTTTTTTATATTTTATTGATTTTTTACAGAGAGAAAGGGAGAGGGATAGAGAGTTAGAAACATCGATGAGAGAGAAGCATCGATCAGCTGCCTCCTGCACACCACCCACTGGGGATGTGCCCGCAACCAAGGTACACGCCCCTGACCAGAATTGAACCTGGAACCCTTCAGTCCCCAGCCCGACGCTCTATCCAGTGAGCCAAACCGGCCAGGGCTGTAACTACCAATTTATACTTCTTAATCACTTCACCTATTTCACCCAGCCCCGCAGCCCCCTCCCACTTGGCAATCATAATTTTCTTCTCTGTATCTATGAGTTTGTTTCTGTCTTATTTAGTTTTTTAGATTCCACATATAAGTGAAATCATATGTTATTTGTCTTTCTCTGACTTATTTCACTTAGCATACCCTCTAGGTCCATCCATGTTGTCACAAATGGTAAAGTTTCATTTTTTTAAAAAATATATATTTTATTGATTTTTTACAGAGAGGAAGGGAGAGAGATAGAGTTAGAAACATCAATGAGAGAGAAACATCGATTCAGCTGCCTCCTGCACACTCCCTACTGGGGATGTGCCCGCAACCAAGATACATGCCCTTTGACCGGAATCAAACCTGGGACCCTTCAGTCCGCAGGCCGACGCTCTATCCACGGAGCCAAACCAGTTAGGGCAGTAAAGTTTCATTTTTATGGCTGAGTAATATTCCACTGTATACATGTACCACATCTCCTATGATTATCGATCAGTGGATATTTCTGGGAGTAGGCAGATGTTTATTGAGCATATATTAGGACCCAGATGCCTGCTAGCTCCTGGGTGGGGGGAACAGAAAGAAGAGTGAGACTTAACCTTGCTCGAAGAACTCAGCATCTGCCACCATGGTTTAATTATTTGATTATGAAACCTTTTAAATAAAAAATGTTGAGCTGGTCCCTTGATATCTGTATCTTATTTGTGTATTATCTATTTGTTTATAAATCATACATGTGTACTGTGAGCTCAAAGTGGCCAGGCAGAGGAGAATGAACTAGAAAAGAAGGCAGAGAAATAGTCCAAGAGAAAGAAGAGATACCCGGGTATCACAGAAGGCAAGTGAAAAGGGGGTTCAGGAAGGAGGGCATGATTACTGTGTTATATAAAACTAGTGGCTCGGTGCACGAAATTCGTGCACTTGAGGGGGGTGGTCCCTCAGCCCAGCCTGCGCCCTCTCGCAGTCTAGGAGCCCTCAGGGGATGTCCGACTGCCACAGAAGCGGGAGAGGCTCCTGCCACCACCGCTGCACTTGCCAGCCTTGAGCCTGGCTTCTGGCTGAGTGGTGCTCCC